CTAAAGACTCAATACCTTAGAGAACCCTGAGCCCTGCCAGCCTGTTATCTCACCAAGGAAGGTAAAGGAACAATCAGTGAGAGGATGAGGAAATACTCTGTCAAAATCACAACCTTAGGAAATGTCAGAGCCAAGACCATGTTAAGGCAACAGCCTCTTGTTCAGCACTTTCCCCTTTATCCCACATTGTTTTGATGCTTCCCAATTTAGTGAGCTGTCCAATTAAACAAACATTAAAGTTTCTTTTCCTACCTGACATCTTCAGGTCAGGAACAGAACAGGAGTAGGATCTGGATAGAGGGATGGGGACAAAACAAGAGTAGGATCTGGATAAAGGGATGAGAGATCACGTTGTTAGGTTTCACAGTAAAAATATCACGTCTATGCAGGATCAAAGATGCTCAGCACTAAGGCACATTTGGTCCCATGTGGTAATCTCAAAACTCTACCTGGTGATAATTGGTTGAAAGTGGGAATGGTGTCATAAAACAGATGAATGCCAATAGGATTTCCAGAAGCCATGTGTAAAAAGGGACAGAGTGGACACATACAGGAAGACTATAGCAGCCCTACATGGCTGCAATCTGGGAATCTGAAAGTACACAACCCAGACATGACAATTTCTAGTCCCAGACCCTTAAGTCAGGAAGAGTGTCACGTGTTTCTTACAGGTGATCATTAATAAAGTCATTTATTATTGACACATGATTTTCACATTTCAACAGATAGCAATGTATTTATATGCACAGATGATGTCCTTGGTGAGTGTATTAGATACTGTTTTACTGCTGTGAAGAACCACAATGACCAAGGCTACTCTATTGACAGGAGAGATTTAGTTGGGGGCTTCCTTGCTGTTTTAGAGTCAGTCTATGATCATCATGTCAGGAGCACACATCATGTCATGGCTCTAATCAACCATGTTCATTGAATATCTATCCATAATGGCCAGGAATTGTAAACAACCTAAATATTCCCCAACTGAAAAATGTATAAAGAAAATGTGGTACATTTAACAAATTAAAGTATTACTCAGACATGAAATAAAAACAAAAACATAAAATTAACAGGCAAATGAATGGAACTAGAAAAATTACCTCATCTTTAGTGAAGTATACCACACCTAGAAAGACAAATATGGTATATACTAGCCTATATATAGATTTTAAGGCAATCATAATCATAACAAAGCAAAAATCCATATAAGCACAAAGGTTTATTATAGAGTAACAAACTGGGCTCAGGTAGATCTCTCTAGTAAAGGGAAACAGAAAAGTTATGGATAGATAAGGGGGGGCTGAAAGTGGAGGATCATGGAGAGAAGGGAAGAGGACAAGGAAAGAAATACATGGAGAGACAACTAAAACTAAGAGCCATCTGAATGGGTAGATTAGAAATCTGACAGAGAAAAAGATTCCTAAAATATATATGTATATTCAGATGATCTACATGAAATCACCAAATACTGGGGAAACAGAGCTCCAACTGGACATCTCTTGTCACCAAATGAAGCTTTCATTAGTAGGATTGGGTTACATCTAGTTGAGCTGCTGGCCAAAGGGGTTCTTGTGAATCTCCAAATAACTGAGGTTATTGCCAGGACTATAGGTTGTCATCCACAAACTGACAGCAAGATCTCAACTGTTGAAGAAAACACCAACAATTCATTGAGCATGAACATAGAGAAGTCAAACTGGTGCCTACATACAGCCTTCACACCTATAGTCTAGCATCTTTTGTACAGGGAGGTACTCTACCAAAGGAGAAACATAAACAGTAACACCAAAGGAGAAACGTAAACAGTAACGTAGCCATGAACCCCTTGATCTACAATGGTGTCCTGCCTACAAAATATATTTAGTGCAATGGTGCTACAAATCTTGTGAGAATAACAACCAATATCATATTGGACTTAAGGCCCACACCATGATATAGAACACATACTGAACACTGGTTGGATAAGCAAGAACCTGAGACTAGATAGACATAGATATATGAAACCCAATAACACCTTTCCAAATGAAACAAAACATGTAGCAAGAAAATAACTCCTAATGATTTCTCACATACTCAGAGTATGGCATACTCAAAGGTATCTACAGCATATCTATGACATATTCAAAGAGAACTGCTCAGTCATCATCAAGAGGACTTTTCCCAGCAGACAATAAATTAGATGCAGAAACCTACATCCAGACATTATGCAGAGAGTAAGAGAACTTAGAATGCTTAGCCTAGAACAGATGTCTCTATCAAATCCTTCCCCTCAGACCTGAGTGGGTGTTGTGAAAGAGGAGGCAGATAGAGTGTGGGACCCAGAACAGATGGAGAAAACCAAGAGAACGGGCTCTCTAAATCAAAAATATTGATACACAATTGAATTCTCAGGGACTGTGGCAGCATGCACAGGGCTTGCATGAGTATACACCACATGGGGTCCTAGACCTGAAGAGAAATTTGAACACATAACCCAGAAGCTATTTCCAATTGATAACAACATGCAAGTGAAAATTTAGTTTTCTCCAAGTGTAGTTGGGGGTTTTCCTGTGTCCCACCTGGTCTGCAGCCACTCAAATCCAAATAAATACACAGAGGCTTATATTAATTATGAACTCTATGGCCATTAGCTCAGACTTATCACTGACAAGCTCTTACACTTAAATTAACCCATAATTCTTATTTTTGTTTTGCCATGTGGCTTGGTACCTTTTCTCAGTTCTGCCATGTCATCTTGCTTCCTCTGTGTCTGGCTGGTGACTCCTGACTCAACCCTTCCTTTTCCCAGAATTCTCCTCATCTGCTTGCCCCACCTATAGTTCCTGCCTGGCTATTGTCCAATCAGCATTTTATTAAACCAGTGTACAAAAAGCAATATCCCACAGCATTTCCCCTTTTCTATCCAGTCAAAAAGAAGTTTTAACTTAACATAGTAAAATTACATATAACAGTTATCAAGCAATAATTACAGTTACAATATCTATTCTATTTGTATTTGGCAAAATTAAAGAAAATATTCTATCATCTATCCTATATTTGTGATTCTAAAGTTTCATATCCAATTTGTCTTTTATCATAACCAAGGAAAATTATAACTATCTAGTCTTCAACTACATCAAAGACCTCAGAAACATATCATATTACCTAAGGAAATAGGAAGTACATTGTAAGCAACTTCTAAAAATTCTGGAAATGACAGAGATAGCTTCCTGCCTGTACAGTTGTCCAAAGTTCCTCTGCAATGTTGGGGCATCTTTCTTCAGCCTAAAGGCCTAGAGTTTCTCAGTAACTTCTGCAAAGCAGGAACCTGAAGGACCATCTCACCTTGTAATGTTCAGTGGTCACCTTCCTGTGGGTCCTGCATGTCCAGTTTATACAACATATAGTCAGTCAGTCGATGCAAGGGCATTATTATTTTTTCCCAGTTGTTAATTTTTGCAACAAATAAAGCATAATGATTTTCTCCATTGTCCATTATCTTCTTTGTAGTAGATTGGTGCGGCCAGAAGCAGACAAGTCTCAATGTCCAGAAAGTCAAACTTCTTAAAATATTTTAAATGACATATTATGTAGGTTTTTGAAGTGTTTGAAGATTACCTACCTAATTGAATTATATCTATGTATACCTAGAAAACTTAACTAACATGACTATAAATTTGATTATCATAGATGACTAATTACAAATCTGTATTTCTCAACTATATACTACAATTTCAAATGAGTTGCACAAGCAAAATTCTTTAAACAAGAGTTTAGTTTATGCATAGAGTATAACAAAATTAAATTTGTATCAATAAACTAAAATCCATAGCAATGTAAAACATTTTTAAACAAGTTGTTGCTCTTTAAAAGTAGATTCAACAATCTGCTCCTTCAATTTATCTTATCTATATCCTATATTTCTATATCATACCCCCTCTCTTATTTTAGAAAGAAATTGACTATAACCAATAACAATTTGTAATAAACAAACTAAACAAAGACAAACATCCATAATCCATTTTTGGGGAATAGCATTTAATGTCACTGAAGAATGGCAGATCCTAGAGCTGTCTCTACTGTCAAGTTGATGAACCTATTTTACTGTTTTGAAAATTTGTACAGTTTTTACATCATTCTCTATTCTTATGGCATGGTGGTTAAGATCATGTACATTTTACAAGTTTTATGATTAGACTTTCTCTATTCTGCAGAGAGTTTTGTGAGGAGTCAATCTTTCCAGTAAATGCATGAACAATAAAATAACCTGAAATCAGAGAAAAGATTTAAAATTGGCAGTTTTCAAGTCAAGAGTTACAGCTCTGAACTCACTTTACTACAAGTTATTTGCATGATGAATAGCCTCATTTGAATGTAACAGTGTAATGTCAATTAAGAAGTGTAGCATGAGTGTTTAAATACTGTTCATCTGACTCATCTTTTAGATCTGTTGCAAAGGAGTGTTTAATATGTATTCATTCTTAACAGAATCATACCTG